AGTGGTAAATATTTTCACAGTTTGCGTGCCTTTGATTTCGGCCTCACTTCCTGGTCTGACTGCTGTTCGAATAGGTACGTGCTTCTGGATACTGAAGGTCCTATGGGAATTCATAAATTTTAATGTAAGTCCCTAAACCTAGATATGGCTAACACCAAAAACAAGTAGATATTTCTTCTGTTTCTTTCTTTGAATTAATACTTGGATTTCATCTTCAAGACCATTACAACGGTCTGCTTTTAGATTAATACCTGATTTTAATATTCGTTAATGCCGTTTTTGGACACATGCCAGTTTCAAAGCATGTTGATTTTCAGTTTTATCCTTTCTTAATACTCACCCGAGGAAATATTTTTCATTGCTTTTAGAGAGGAGGGGAGGAAGGAAGGGAGACAGGAAAACATCCATGCAGGAGAAAAGAATCAATGGGGTACCTCACATCTGGGTCAGACCGGGGACCAAACCTGCAACGCAGGCACTTGCCCTGACTGGGAATCGAACCTATGATCCTTTGGTGATGGGGCAGGGCTTATCCTATTTTAATTGTTAGTTATGCAACTGCACTTTCTCGAACATTTATAATAACTCTATTTCATTTAAAGTTCACAAAACTCTGGCAATTGCCAATTTCACAAGTTACAAGCAACAATGTTCTAGAAAGAAGCAGCTTTATCTTCCTTATCTACATTTTGATGGATCTGAAATAAATCATGACTCAGGGAAAGGTGTCCTCATATAATGCTCCATAGTCTTCTATCATTAAATAAGTGTTCCAGACTCGTTTGCCTAAAATTAATTAAATAAAATAAATTTTAAAAATCACCAAGTGCCATAAAAGATTTAAGAGTAAAGTAGTCAGAGCTAAGGGAGGATATGATTCTGGGATAGCTGAGCATCATGAAGCTTTCAGCACATGCTCCTAGTATGTTAATGGTATTTTTAAAAAGCCTTAAAGGGTAAAAACCTCAGGAACCCAATGCAAAAGGGAAAATGAGAAATGAGACCATTCAAATTTTATGAGATGAAACAGTGAAAAAAAATTAGGTGAACTGATCTATCTTGCAAGATGCCTTCAATTGGAAAAGTAGGACGTTCAAATAGCAAAGACCCTAATAACGGGTCCGGCAGAAGTAAGGCTTGAGTGTGGTTGGTAGGGTAACAGCATGGGTATAATCATTTAGTTTTAACTTAAACATTTCCCCTAAAATGACCTACGGTGTGCTTGAGTATGATACTGTTACGTTACAGAATGACATGCTGATGATTTTGTAATAAAAGGCTTTGTAATAAAGGGGGGGGGGGGGCGTTACTTGTGCCGGACTCTGTATAATATGTCACCTGGGAGATTTTACGAGCTACATGCGACATGTACGTGCTGGCCACAAAATGCAAGTGGAAATCTCAAATTGAGTTTCTTTACTTTTTACTTTACATTTTACTTTAGGATATATTGAATGATTATAAATTCTTTGGATAAGAGACAGTACCCTTGGGAAAATGCAGGCTACCTCTCATATCCAAACTGTTATTGGTTTGATATGAAGAATGTTTTCTATGAATCAGAGACAACCCCGCACTCAAACGGTCATCCTTAAGGAGTAGTCGCCCTTCTCGTGATATTCGTTCCTAATGAGACTTCCTTGCACCGGCAGAAGTCTACGCCAGGCTGGGTCCGGGTGTATTTGAACTGGACTTGGGCGGGGGGAGGCGCAAGGCTGTGGGATGGCTTTGAAACCTTGGACAGGTAGTTCTCACGAGCCCTCCGCAACACGAGACTCAAGCATCCGGTAATGAGAGTCCCAGTCTGGACTGTCTGCACCCAACCTCTCAGCTGGCAGGCTGACCTTTCTGAGGTGTCACTTACATCATGTTATGCAAATACGACGACATTCACCTGATGTTTAGCAGGGAATTATGCGTTCTTGAGGTATAATGGACACAAGAACCGGGGGACTTTGATAGTTTGCTTGCAAATGAGCCATCTAGGTGACAGCGATATTATTTTTATGCATTCGTACATTCTGGAATTTCGATTGATGAGAGCTAAAAACAAGGCGTGCAGATTAAAGGGAGAGACACCTTGTGAATTTTTCTCCTACTGGCAGAAAAATAACTAGCCATTCAGTGAGACATTTATTCTTGAATGATCCAGGATTTATATCCATCCTATAAAGTCACTATTACGGTCAATAGGTTGTTTAATTGCATGAAGGGCAGGCAGACACATTATGCACCTGAAGAAAGGAAATTATTTATCCTTGTCTTTCACAGACTTAAGGAATGATTTTTGTGAAATGGTTAGTGTAAATATATTGCATAAGAGAAATGCTTGTGAATTTTGAATGTCTTCATATGATGAATCTAATTAATCAGACAGAAAAGATGTATGCAACAACAAATGAAGAGCAGATGAGTTAAACCAGTTTTCTAAAATTTACTGCAAAGCGTTCATCAACTGTTAGGTTCACATAATTATTTTATGTTCACATTGATCTGGAAGTGTCATGAATTGAAAAAGCAAGCTTAAGTCAGAATTATTGGAGTAACCGTAGGAAAAATGGTTAATTGTTCTTTTCTTATCCAAGGTTAATTTTTCAGAAGCCTTTTAAAACAATTCCTAAAAACTGAAATTCTAGTAATTTGACTGAAGGAAATCTTCTATGGGGTTTTATAAGCCAATGGACAGCCTAGTTACTCACAGCCTCTTGTGAATCCACTGATAAAAGAAATAGAATATCTATATAACGCTATTTGAATGCTTTCTATGGATTCAGGCATCAACTGTAAACTCTGAAACTGTGAGAACAATATCAAATCTCCAATGCCGTTGAATTTTATACAATTTTCAAATGATACAAGGTCACCAATGTCCAAACAACATACTTTGATCTCCGCCTGGGGCATTCTGATGTTGGTTAAAGCTAATATAACAAGATCGGCTATTACTATGGCTGCCGGTGAAACCTCCAACGGGCATCTGTGGTAACATCGCATGTAAGGGCGGAAGTTCAGGAAGGGCCTTTATGTACATTTAGGAAGGGACAAAAAGGGCTTTTGTTCATTCAAGGGAGTCCTTACAAACCCTTGGATTCTCTCTTGTTTACCCTGAAGGTGATCCAATGTATGAGGGTCCAGGCTGTTGAGGACGAGTACACGGATTAATCCAAGCGCATCCCTTTGCAAGGGCTTTTAGTTAAGTTACGTCTTCATATAGGTGTCCTAGGATGGGATATATTTTTTCTTTCTTTTTTTAAAAAAGAGTTTATTTATTTATGTATGTATTTATTTATGTATTTATGTATGTATGTATGTATTTATTTATTTTTAGAGAGAGGAAGGGAGGGCTAAAGACGGGGAGAGAAACATCCGTGCGAGGTTGCCTCTCGCGCGCCCCCTGCTGGGGACCTGGCCCGCCACCCAGGCCTGCGCCCTGCCTGGGAATCCAGCCTGCGACCCTTTCGTTCACAGGTTGGTGCTCAGTCCACTGAGCCACAGAGGCAGGGTACATTTTTTTCTTTTCACTTAAATTGCCTTCTTCTTTTGTGCCTAGATAAGAAAGTAAAGACACACATAACTGCACCTTCTCTTCATTGACAATTTATACTGTGTGTATTAAACTTCAGCAGCACATAGTAGATTCTGGACTAGTTCATTTCGTCGGCAGCAATTGTCTTCTTATTTCTAGATTCTTTTATCTAGGTCTAATGCTTTAAACAATGTATATGGTAAAAATACATTCACATGCACACACACGCTAGATGCATAATATGCATACCATGTAACGTGTGTAGCATGTTAATATATATGGACTTGAAATACATTACTTGTGTCTTAGAGAAAAGATCGCTTAACAGTTATGGATTTTCATGTAAGGAATTATAAATTAATTTCATGATACCCTGTATTTTTTTAAATACAATGACTTTTAATCTGTGTTACATACAATAGTTCGTTATACTAAATGTCTATAAAATAGTGTTTTCGAGATTTTAAAATGCTTTTCTCCAGATCTTGTATCACATGCTGCCAGCAGTAAGGTATTTCTGTTGATCTGCTGTTGCATAGCCAACTACCCCTAGACTTTGGAGCGTAAAACAAAAACCAAAGTGCACGTTCCGTTTTTAGGTCAGGAATCGGGATAGTCATGACTGGTGGCCGAAGCGGCTTCCATGTGTGGAGAAATAAGGAATCAAATAAGGCTCAGTAATGTCCGGAATGGGCAGTTCACCCACGTGTCCAGTCGGTTTTTCCAGAGCGAGTATTCCCAGCGGGAAATACTGCTACGAGGCGAGGGCGCATTTGTAGCCTGGCGGAGTTCTCACCCTTGCTGGGTGTCCTGAAAACCTCTCGTTTTGGACAGAAAATGTTTCATCTTTCTATTTGGCGAGTGTCTATTTTGTATATTCTGCTGCAATTACGAGTGAAGATGAGATGTATAGTTTGGTATGATAATTACCATCAAGCGCTATCCATGCCACGTAACTATTCTTATTCCTTAGAGGATAGAATCGATTTAAATAAATTTAGATTCAAAATATTGCCCCTAAGATTCTTTGAAAAGATGATTTGTACTTTAAATTTTCTAAGCCTGCATGATTGAATAAATTTCTTATTATTTACTCTTTCAGCCCACCTGAATATTACAGACAGAGCAATAAAAGTTTGTTATATGTATGCATGCTTATTATTCAAGAAATGAATTCTTGTCAAATAGTAGCTTAATAAATCCATGTTGAAATGGTGATCGGAATTTCCAATGCGCTTGAATGTCTATAAGCCTGACAGCTTCTTAACACGTCGACTTTATTCTGCATCTGGATGCGTCTTGTTTCAAACCGTAAGCTGAAGCAGGTTCACAAAAGCCTGAAATTGTCCCCAAGTCAAGATAATGTTGATGCGACCTCACTAAATAGTGGAAATAATGTCTTTTCGAAATTGGCTGCATTAAACAAGTGTTCAGATCGGAGCTGAAACGCTGTAATTTTCTTGTTCCCTTTCAGTCCCAGCGGCGCGTCACCTTCCACCTGCCAGAAGGCTCCCAGGAAAGCAGCAGCGACGGTGGCCTGGGAGAGCAGGAGCCAGCCGGCGGGGCCCGGGCCCTGCCCCTGGACTACCCGCAGGAGGAGGACTTCGACCGCGTGGCGCCCCCCAACCGCACGGAGGGCGACGGCAACTCGGACCCCGAATCCAGTAAGTGAGGCCTCGCTTGGCCTGCAGGGTAGCAGTTTGTCACAACTGCTGTCACGGTATCATTGGCCTTTTAAAGCTACAGACACAAAATTAGTTGGAAGGCCCTTCTGCATCCGTTTCCCGTATTTGAAATGTAGGATCACATCTACTTTGCATAAAATTTACTATGAAATTTCACATGGTCATTTGGTTTAGGCATAGGTAGGATTTTCTATGGCTATCTGCAGAAACATGTGTTTATTTGTACATAACCGGCCTGTTTATTTTATTTTATTCATTCGTGTACATGTGAATTCTTTTTATAATTCACGGACATTTTTTTTTTACATTTACTTTTCTTCTCATGGATAACAACTATAGAAAATTAATTTTTTTAAGAAAATAAGATATCCTGTCTTCAATGCTGAGCAGCTGGTTGAGGTTTTCAATAATGTACCAAAACCACGTCTTGGGCCATGTTACCATTTAGAAAGGTATTCAAATTTGGTCTCCAGGCCGAGGGCATAAAAGGCTATATTTTACAAAATTCAAAGATGTTGAATTCTTTAAAAAGGTCATGAGACTGATACTAAATAGAGAATTCGTTAAACTTATTATCTTGAACATGGACTGTACGTCCTCACTTCCTCGTAATTTTAGGAAATACAAAATTTCATAAGGTTATACAGAGCTCAAAAGATTCTTGAGTTCCAAGAACTATAATTTTTCTCCAGCTATATTTTCTACTCATATAAGAGTATGCATTATATGTGATACAGAGGATGCATAGGCATAAACAAATACGCAAAACATAGAAAGTAAATTACTATTTAAAAGTGGTTTTTGAGAATAAAAGGGCTTCCCCATCATTGTATTTTCAGCCTCTGTTTTTGAAACTCCAGAAAATAAGGGAAATCAACTGTCTGAACACCAACATGTAACTAAATCTAAGTTTCTAAGATTAAACACACAGAACCAATGATGCCATAACATCAACTTCTTTCTCTCTATAAAAGTAGACATTGGATATTAAAGGTGTTTCAATATAAACATTTTAGAGATGTCTGAGTCCCCAAATTCAGAAAGCCCTAAACATCTGCTCTCCCTATATTCTAATAAATATATTAGAATTATTTATCAACATTCGTTCCGTGGAAGAGAAATTCTATAACATGCAACACCAGTCTACCTTTCATTTGCTACGTACTTCTGTACAGAGTATATAATGACTTCTGGTTAGGAATAAAAATGTGTAACTGTATCCGCCAGTACAATAAACTCAGAATCAACCTCTAAGAAGAATATGGTCCTATGTAACAAATATGCATTAAGCAAGGTGTCCTTGCTCTTTTTTACTCATAAATTATGTTAATTATACACCTATCATTAACTGCTTAATAGATAATATCAATAATTTGGAGACAGGAGGTGGGTAGAAAATGCGAGGGGATTAGGAAGCACAAATAGGCAGTCACTTCACAGAACAGCCGTGGGCATGTGAAGTACAGCACAGGGCTCGGAGCAGCCAAAGGACTGATACGATGGCCCAAGGGCATGAACAAGGGGGGGGGGGGCTTGCCTGACCGAGGGGGGCCTGGGGGGAGGGGCGAAAGAGGGAAAGAGGGTTATACCTGTAATAGTATAACCAGTAAACTATAATTTTAAAAAGAAAGCGTGTCTCAGTCACATAAACAGTGATAATATAGAGATGAAATGCCCATCATTTCTTTAAACTAGATAAAACTGATTCCTTCACAAACGCCATGTGTTACTTAGCTCTTTTGTTAGAGGCTTGCATAGGAATAATTAAAGAATAAATTCAGAGTAAACATCCACGGTGTGAATCTAACCCCGAACTAAACTTTCAAAATGAATGAGACTAAGATGGAATATTATTGATAGTGAAAGGGGCAGGGTAGGTATGTGTTAGATATAAGGAAACATTTGAAATTCAATACAGGTTCATCCATTCCAATTATGTATAATAGATTCTATGTAACAATAAGTAGTTGTTTTCATAATATTCAGATGAAGTACAGGATCTGATTTTATTTAGAGTTAAGAGTGCAAGTGTTAGCAACTATGTATGAGCTAATACGCTTTCTATAAGCTGTATTTTTAATGTACTTCTCTCCTGTGTTCCCATTGACACTATTATTTTGCTCATTAAATATTCGGTTTGTAAGTATAGCATGAAGCGGTGGCAAAATCTAAGTTAACAAAGAGTTTTATTAGTTAGGCTTTATTCTAAAATTATGATGGCTGTAGGCAATACTAATATATTTTTGCTCCTTGCTATTTTAATAAGCTTAGGCAAAGGGTAGAGATAAATGTCCATTTGTGTGTATGTCTCACAATATAAAAGGGTCAACGTTTTAAGTCTATTTCTACTATGAGTAGTATTGACTATCTATTCTCTCGCTGGACCTGAAACGTCCCTGTAAGCCATGTTCCAGAAAATTTTTGGTTAGGTGTTCCATTTGGGACAATAAAGGGCTTTATTATTACAAGTGCAAGAAGCACAACGTTTCCCTTTAAAGAAGTTGTATTATCTAGTGAGATTTTTACATAGTACATGCATGTGTTTTGTTTTGATCAAAAAAAATTAGTTGATGCAAAATTTGCCATAGCAAAATAATCTCTTTAGGCTATTGCAGATGGTATTAACCCCGAGGCTCTGACATAGTTGATAGTAATGGCATTTGTGAAATGGGGCAGACGCCAGTAAACTGTCCGGTGTCAGTCCACAAATAAGAAGGTAAACTGTCAGAGGAAATTAACTTATGCAGATTCCATCACAGACTTTGAAATGCATCTCATCTTGCTCAAAGCAGTACATGGCTCTGAAAATTCCTTGTAACTTCACAAAAACAGATAGAAATACAACTTTTGTGAATAATATTTTGCCCAAAATCGACTGCGGGGGTTTATTAATACTACTTTAACACATAGTTCCCAGGTTGATAAAAATTTGCTGATTAGATGAAGAAATAAAATTCTGCTATCCATTCCTCAAGTCTTTTGCCAAGAATATTATTTTCCTTTTTTAAGGTAAAGAAACAAGCAAATGCAATCCAATTATTTCTCTTTTAGGAGGAAAGTTTAATAAAACACCGTGTCTCATCCCGTTTCACAATTGCAATCTTCTGGCTTTAGCCTTTGCAATGACAGCCACTTCATGCCATTCTATGAGATTTTGTCTTTTTGGGAGAGTGTTCCCAATGGACTCTGCTCTTCACAGCTGGCTGTTTTGTTAGGAACCCACAGAAGTCCAATCCATCAACAGCATTACAGGTTGCTGCTGGGCTACGGTGGATACTCTAACAGGTCGAGCCTTTCTATTGTGAAAGGACCCAAGGCTCTCATAGAAAAGGGAGTGACTGCGACTATACAAGAGATAGTATTGATTGAGGTATTTGGGGGCAGTGTGATCCTCTTGGGAATACTCTAAACACGCTCAACTACACATGGCTCCTGTTCATATCTTCTTGGTTATAAGTAGCATTAGGTAAAATGTGATATATGAAGAGTTAAAATGTTTTCTAACTTTCTTCTGTAAAACATTGCTCTGATAGAGTAATTCAGACTAAGTTCTGAGACACATGAAAACATTAGCAAAGGTTAAACCATGTTGAACCTCAGAGATTTCTGAATAATTCAGTAGCAGAACCGCTGGGTTCCGTTGCTCTGGGTTCTATTGCCCGCCGCCGGTAAGAACCGTGACTCCCGACGCCTAAGTCCTGCCCCGCCCGCCTCCAGACGCCTCCCAGCCCGGGTTAGCGCCGCGCCCGCCTCCCTGCTCCGCGCAGGCGCCGCACGTCCCGGCCCTGGCCCTCGGGCCCCCTCGTCAGAAGCGCCCGGGAACTCTCAGTGGCCTTGCTCGGCCTCCCCCGTCCCCCGACCCACAGCTGGGGGGGCTTTGGGGCTTTTTGCGGGGGACCTCTAGCTCAGCACCCCATTACAGCTCATACATAAGTAGTCAGATGTGTGTGTGTGGGGGGGGGCGTTTCTCTAAGAAGATGCATTGTTAGTATCTCACTATGAATCAGTTGGAGAGAAAAGGATACCATCTAAATTTCTAAAAATCTACTGGTATATCATAATTGGAATCATCATAGATAACTTCCATGTTTCTTTGGAAGGGAAATAGTGAAACAGAATGTTTCTAAAGAGATTCAAGCCAGTCTTCAGTTTATCAGCTGTAAATCAATCATTTTCAGAGAGAACTCTCCCAAGTGAAGTGGGGAGAGGACCTAGTGTCATCAGTGTTACATCATCTGCATTTTTTAAAACCTATCACCGGGCATGGCCATTGCACACATGAGGTTACTCTGTTACAGTTGGTTTAGTGTCTAAACTCTGAGCTTCCAGTAACAATAATTATGCATAAAATTTCATCAACTTTTTAAAAATGTTATTGCTTTTCTTTTACATTACAAATTTCTGGGATGCAAAAGAAAAAATAGAGTTCCCGGAGCAGTTAGGACTAAAGAAGTTCTACATTTAAAATAAGAAGAAATACATTTTATCATTATTTTAAAAATGATCAACTTCTCTGCTAGACTGTATCTCAAGGTAACCTCTCATTGACATTCATTTTTGGTTTCACTAGATCAGGTTTGCTTACCACTCTAATTCGGTACTCATTAATTCACAAAAAGGAAGTAATTAATCTTTCCCTGGCAACACACTTTGATTGATCCGCTACCAGTAATCTAATTACATGTTATAAAAAGTGGATAGACCAATTTGATAGACTAGAGCATGAGAGAAATGCCAAATTTTGCCTTGATCTCCCGAGACTCTTGGCAAAGAGTTAAATAATATATATGTATTATCTATATATAGTGTTAAACATCTAATTCTGAATGGAGACAATTGGGAAAATTAAAAATGAAACTATGAAGCTTTAAAAGAATCGGCTAATAATGGATCATTAAAATCCCACCCTTCATAATTAAGAACATTAGGGGTCAGTTATCTGAAAGCAAAATAAAACTGTTCACATATATTTCCAGGCA